GCTCAAAGTCGTCTACCCTCCTTTTAAGGTGACCTGTCTCTTTTCTTTCACTGCTCAGAACCTTTGTCTCCGATTTTCAGCAGTCTTATGATACCGTTAGGTGTGTTTTTTCATTTTATTTATCCTGGCCGGTGTTTGTCTAGCTTTTCTGGTTGTCAGCAGGAGTGCTGGTCTGAGTTCATGTTTATTGTTGTGCAATTATTGCATTCGGTACTTGGTTTTCCGTAACCACCAGGTGCTATTTACCTGATGTGGACAATGTGTGGTCTCACGTTATTGATGCTCTGTTGATTATTTCCCCTCAAGTGTTTAGTGGAATAAAGCGGAGGCTGATGGACCCCGAGGTAGTTGGCAATGGCCATTTCTCTCCTGGGCACAGCTTCTGCTGCTGTCAGGCCGAGGGAGGCCTCCGAGCTTCTCTACAACTCATGCAAACCTGCTAAGATACGCACTCAATATACAAATAATTCTGTTATTTTTTTATTTTGAATAAAAAGCTGGCTGGGGTAACAATACTAGTGGCTCTGCATACAAAACACAACATATTTGAGGTTATTTCATCACATTTTTACAAAACTGTCGTTATGTACAGCACTGGATATTCACAGCAACTTTATTAGATTCTAAGGACTAGAATCAGATGAGCAACAGGGACATCCAAAATGGAGAAAGCTAACATCAGAGGTCTTTCGTTAGCTGGAGAGCTGGCTGGCAGCTGACTGGTAGAGACAGCGGGTCTGTTACGCCTTCTTTAGTAAAAACAGGGCTACGCAGTGACATGGACACCCTCCGAGACTTCCACTACATTTTCTCTAGACTCTTCCCACTTCAGACTTCCCCCGAACCCGCTGCCCTAACGGGAGAGAAAAGCTCAGGGTGCCGGGGCACTGTGTTCAGGAGAGGAAGGCTGGCTGGTGCGGAGGATCTGGCACGATCTGGTTCAACCCGAGAAAGAAGTCGACCCACTTGGGTCGTGAGTTCTTTGCCGTTTTGAGCGCCTGGGAGAAGTGAGCCGCGCCCCATCTTAAAGGTGGCAGGGGCTCCTCCCTCCCACTCCGGACCACGGCACCTTCCCGCGCACGGTGCTTGAACTCGGTGCTGCCGGAAGTACCAAGACGAAATGGACAGTCCCTGCCCTAGAGGAGTTTACAGTCTAACAATGAACGCTATGTACACATGTGCAATGGAGGGAAGCCGCCATTTTTCTGGATGGCGGGATATTCCAAGCAAAAGGTGTTATTATTCTTAAAGTTATCATTTAAACACGAAGTCTTAACACACCACCTAATCAGATGGCAAAATTTTTTAAAAAAATCTCCCTTTTATAACCTTAAGTTTTTATTTTTATTTTTTAAAATATTTTTTTATTGATTTCAGAGAGGAAGGGAGGAGAGAGAAAAACATCAATGATGAGAGAGAATCATGGATCAGCTGCCTCCTGCATGCCCCCTACTGGGGATCGAGCCCACAACCCTGGGCATGTGCCCTTGACCGGAATCGAACCTGGGACCTTTCAGTCCACAGGCCAACGCTCTATCCACTGAGCCAAACTGGCTAGGGCTAACCTTAAGTTTTTAAATGCCTGTTCTTTTTATTTCAAAAAATGTCATATGTAAACATACAAAAATTCAAAGCGGAACACAAAGATTATAGCATGGGCACTGGGTAAACATAAACTACATATCAGTACACACAACACAGACTTCCTTTTTTTATACAGTGTATTTTTGTATAAACAAATTTGATTATTCCCTTTCCTTTCATACATTAAAGTACAAATCTGAGTCAGTCTTGAAAAGACTTAACTGATTTTTGCATTTAATTCTAACTAGTACCCAAACCAAAACCAAACACCCTGAACCCACCCAGTCTGTTAGCCAAGTGACAAACTGATGAAGTCGGAAACGCCTCAAGGCCGCCACAGCCTCTTACATCCTCTAATGCGACCACTTTACAGGATCTTCCTGTGCAAGTAACAGGATGTCACGATGGCGAAGTAAACCATTTTTGACCTCATAAACACACATGACATTCCGAGTTCTGAAATGTACCTCTCCCGACCCACTTACAGTATTTCAACCAGACAGCCTATACCCCTGCTTTGTTGGCATGAGTTCCACCTGCCCCTTTTCAACTCCCCCCGAGCCGGGAATGAACGGACAGACACCGTGTGGCACCCCCTGCAGCGCTGCTATAGCCAAACTCACTCCCAGGGCCTCATGGTGGATTAAGTCTCCCCACGAGAGTACAGTTATCACTCAAAAGAAAGGCAAGCTACGAAATGCTGAGCCACCCAACTGGATAAAGACGGGGAGAAAGATTCACACGCAAAAGGATTAAGCTCTTCACAGGACACCTTTAAGCCATTTCCCTGTTAAATTCATTAATTTCACACCATGTTTTCAGAAACAGCCCTGCCTTAAGCTGTATCTGCATGTGGGAGGCCCTCGACCAGCTGACAGTGCGGACTCAGCTCAGCTGACGGTCCTCACACTGACGGAGCGCGGGGCCCTGGGAGCCAGCACAGGCCCCGCACACCCGCAGTTGCATCGGGTACGAGGCTGCAGTACTGCGATCACAGGAAGCCACTCCACACGGCAAATCTGACTTCATTAGAGAAAAGTCACATTTCACGTGCTCTAGAGTCAGTGTGAAGAGCAGAGATCATGTCAGCAGACGTGAAGTTCTTAACTCAAAAAGCCCCTTTTAGATTCAAGAAACAGATGAAGTTTAAAACTCTGAGACTTGAGACACAATCTAAAACCCAGGTTAAGGCTGCCAGCGGACACTTCACTAAAAACTAACCTGAACACCATGCGCAGGGGTGAGACCCTGAGGGAAGCGGACTCCGGACACCCTGCAGGTCACTGCATTGCTGACCCCGCAGCGCGCAGAAGGCGGCCAAAGCATGACACACACACAGTCACGGCGAATGGCCACGCCGGGCAGAGGCTCGAGGCTGTCGGTGCGGGGCCAACTATAAAGAGACTCATCGTCTGTCTCTCTGTGTGTGCTGCCCCGTCTCTAACAGGAACACAGGGCAGATACACCTGTCCTTTAAAAAATCTAGGCCTCCTGCCCTGGCCGGCGTGGCTCAGCTGGCTTGACTGTCGTCCCGCACCCCGAACGTTACACGTTTCACTCCCAGTCAGGGCTCATACCTAGGGTGCAGGCTCAACCCCTGGTGGGGCATGTGCGCGAGGCAACTGATCAATGTTTCTCTCTCTCTCCCTTTCTCTAAAAATCAATAAAAAGCATATCCTCCGTCACGTGAGGATTAAAAATGCTGCCGTCCCCTCAGCTCCTCATGCTCCCAGGCTGGCGGGCTCACCTCCACGGATGGGAGGCGGGAATTTGGGCGGCAGCAGGTTGCGCTTCAGTCCCCAGGGGGAGAAGCCATGTTCTGGTAAGAGTGGCATGATTATTCCTATACAGACACACAAAATACTTCATCAGGGAGGCCCTCTTCAGTAACTCCCAATAACTCAGTTTCCCCCAAACGCACAAGTGCTTTAAAAAAATACTGAGCATCGTAAATGGCAGCAGCGCCACGTTCTCCAACAACACGGCTACCGACTCTGAGTGGGAACAGAAACGGAAGTGACGAAGCATCCCATGATTATTAAAACGGCAATGACGCCCTGACAGGATCCCAATTGTTACTCACATTTATGGGTGAAGTGACAGGCTACAGGCATCAAGCGGCTGCAGCCACACACCTGCCGCTGTGCTCGCCATGATTCTAATGCTGACTGGTCCTCTTTCTTGAAAATCAACTTAATGTACCCGTCACTAAAGGCTGGATAGAGCTTCTCTGGAAGTTACCACCAAAATGAGAAATAGCAAGTGAGGCAAAATGCCTTTCACTAAGGATACAAAGTAAAAGCAGGAAACTGTGGTAGTCAAGGCAAACTAGACGGCAGGCAGGATGAGTCCGAATTCCATCTCGTACTTCCCGCCCAACTTCCCAGAATTGCGCCCGTGCCATGCCGTGTGCGCGGCAGTCCCAGCCGTCCGATCAGCACCGTCCCTGGGACCTGCCCGTAAAAGCCCAACGCTGTCACCCCAGAACGGCTACTTGTTGTTTTAGGTTTTAAAACCAATGAACATCGAACATCTCTTTGCCCACTGAGACACCATGTTGTAACAGCAGGCGCAAGTGCTGCCGTCTGTCTGGCAGTCTCTAGGCAGACTCTGGCCGACAGACGCGAACCTTCTGCAAATGTCAACATTAAAAGCCCTCCATGATTTAATACTGAAAGAAGAAAACATTCTTTTCTACGCACAGACGTCTCGCTCAGGTACCACAGTTCGGTTCGAAGCGGGCGTGGCCGCCTGAGCTGGAGTGCCTACATCCTTACACACTGAGGAGTTGGGTAGGAAACTGATGACACGGAGATCAAAGTGAGTCACAACTATTCCTTTACAAGAGTCACTTGGCCTTTGGACACACGAAACCCAATTTTAGTCTTGGCTTCAACCTCTTAAAAATATAGTTTAGGAAAATGTTTTCAGACAAGAACCAGCGGATCCGGTTCCACGGCTGTTTGTTGGGGACAGAGCAGGCCCCACGCTCAGACACTGTGAGCATCTGCTGGACACTGACCACCACGTGCCCGGCCACCTCCGCTCTCTGGAGCCACAAGGCTATTCTGGACCCAGGCCAGGATTAAGTCCTCACGGAGCCCACAGGCCCTCTCCAGTCTCTAGAAATCTCCGTTCCTAGAAATGACAGGGTGTTTGTTCAAACTGCTTCAGTGAAGACGCTTTAAAAGCAAGTGCTCCTCGCTGGGCACGGAGCAGGGCTGACTTTCACCTCAATGCTGGGCTCGGCGCCCCGTCACTTACAGACGCCTCTCGCCGCGGAGACGGAGGCTGCACTCGGAATCACTCGGCCCCTTTCCAGCCACGAGGAGCGCCCCTCCCCGAGCAGGCCAGGTCCAACGCCCCCTCTCCGGCCGGACTATCCCGCAGATCACAGTCCACTCCACCGCTGCCGGTCAGAAGACAGGAGAGTCGCAGAAAGGGCAGGGGCTTTGCAGCAGCCTCTTGATCCAGTCGGGGTCTGCAAGGAAGACAGGCGTTGAGCGTGGGCTTGGGGAAGGGGCCCGTGGGATGACTGTGAACGAGCTGCCGTGTCCGGGCGGCATTCTGTGCCCCTGGACAAAGCGCCCACCCAGCATTCTAAGCGAGGCTGGGCTAACCCGTGGCCCCGCCGAGCTCCCGGCCGAGCTCCGCTCTCTCCTCTAGACCCGCAGCTTCTCCTGCCCAAAGCCGACGTGGCTCAGCGCCCAGTCACCCGCAGGGCGTTTGCTTTTAAAACTTGTTCCAATCTTTTCCTGACTTTCTGCCTAAATGGTATAGCAGCTTTCAGGGAGTGTTTATAAATCCCCCAAATCTGTTTCAAAATAATCCAGTAAGAGGAGGGAAGAGGATGGGGAACCACGGATGAAACATAAAAGGCCGTGAGTGGGCAATTTTTGCAGTTGAATGATGGGCACATAAGGATTTATTAAACTCTTTTCTCTACTTTTGTATATGATGGCATTTTCATATATATATATGTATATTTGTATTGATTTCAGAGAGGAAGACAGAGAGAAAAATCAATGATGAGAATCATTGATTGGCTGCCTCCTGCATGCCCCCTACTGTGGATCAAGCCCGCAACCCTGGCATGTACGCTTGACCGGAATCAAACCTGGGCCCCTTCAGTCCACAGGCTGACGCTCTATCCACTGAGCCACACTGGCTAGGGCTGATGGCATTTTCTATAATAAAAAGGACATAAGCTGCCAGGTAAGAAGCCAAGCCTAAGGGTGTGGTTTTATGCGGAATGTCTTCTGCTTCACTTCACTGAGCCCACAGGTTCCCCCAGAACACGGACATAATTGTGTCTAGTTAGCGCATGTGGTTAGTGTGATGTTAGCGAACATCAGGGCATAACTGACATTTATCGGGCTGTCTGCGTCGCTAATTCCTGTCCATATCACTAATCTCATCTCAGATTAGTTATCTCAGAAACGTGGGCTTTGCCACTGGGCCATCGAGGACTACAGCCCCGTCACGGCTGCTAGAAGCAGGACCCCACGCACACACCCGGAGCTGCCCAGCAATGCTGTCCTCGCAGGCATTATCATTTGCAGTTTTCATTCAAATGTAATCGAGACCTGTCAGGTAAAAGAAGTGCGGGCATGTTCTGAACGAATAACTTACAGGAGCAGACGGCAAACTTACACGCTAAACTGCAGCAGGGGTTTGAACACAACATATCCCGATCACGGTTTTAATTAGCTGTGGCTTCATGTGACACTGTGAGGGGCAGTGTGAGCCTGACCCGGCCGGCATGCCCACCCCCACCCGCAGCTGGGAGAGGCTCACTCACCTTCCGGAGCCGGGTGGCGGGCAATACTATCGTGGAGCAAACACCTTCTGTAGATCAGGCTCTGGCAGGACTGGTAGGTTAAAAAGCACCTGAAAGAAGACATGGTATCGTCAGTTCTACCAACACTGGAAAGCGGCCGTGCTGAGCGTAACGCACCAATCACACTAAAAGCCACACTAACCAAGTAAAGGGCAGACATTGTTCACAAATTCATGGCAACCCCGCATCCCTCTGCAGCCGCTGGGCCCGCACCCACACCGAGGGACGCGCCTGTCAGTGCCCAGCGACAGATAGTTGCTCATGCAGACGGTCACCGCGTGCTCAGCACTGGGAGACGTCTGTCCCTCCTGACTGTGCTGGGGCTGGGTGGTATGCTGACAACTGACCACCTAGCACACTGACCGTTATTCTTGTGAGTGACTGTTAAGATTGGGGACCAGCACTATGTTTAAGAACCTGACAGCACAGTGGGGAAACCTGAAGGAGGGAGAAGACAAAATGAATGGTGTGAAAAAGAAAGGGCGAGAACCTATGTGCCCAGGCTCAAGTCCATCCGATGCTGTTCACGCACCTCTCCCAGGACCAGGCCAGGCAGGGCGGGGAACGCAAGGAGAGGGGAAGGAGTGCATTTGGGTCTGCACGGGAGGTTTTCCCAAAAGACAACAGTTTTTAAGCTGAGCAGTCAAGGAGCAGAAAAGTTCAAAGAGGAAGAGGAGGGAGGAAGAGATTCCAAGCAGGCTCGCTCTGGGGAGACTTGGGCGTACAGGAAGCAGCTCACACCTGGTGAGAGCCAGCACTCCCTCCCGTGGAGAAATGAGACGGAGGCGATCTGGCACTAACTCCAATCAGCAAACACGAGGGTACCTGCTGTTAGAGAGCCCATCTGACAGACTATGAGGCGTGGCAGCTACTCCTGTGAGCTCTGCAGCCGGAACACCAGGCTCCAGCTCTGCCATCCACCACCTGTGTGACGGAGCAAATGATCTGCCTTCCCCAGGGGCCAGCTGCCTCATCTGTAGAAATGAAATCACCGCCGTGTCCCCATGCACAGTGGCTGTGAGAATAGTGACTCAGGACACGGGCACCGCTCAGCAGAGCACCTGCCACACCATTGGTGCTCGAGATGTCGGTCATGAGCTGACTGCTGCTACATGGACAGCAAGGACGTGAAGCAGACAGCTAAGAAGGGTCAGAGGCAGGGAGAATAGCAGGGAGAGCTGTGTCCAGGAAGCCAGTGATGGAAGTGCTTCAGGTGGAGGAGGAAAGAGAGGAGGAAGAGGAAGAGGAAGGAGGAGGAGGAGGAGGAGGAAGGAGAGGAGGGGAGGAAGAGGAGGAAGAAGGAGAGGAGGGGAGGGAGAGGAGGAGGAAGGAGGGAGAGGAGAAGAAAGAGGAGGAAGAAGGAGGGGGAGGAAGAGGAGGAGGAGAAGGAAGAGGAGGAGGAAGAAATGAGGAAGAGGTGGAGGAAGAGGGGGAGGAGAGGAGGAGAAGAGGAGAAAGGAGGAGAAGGTAGAGGAGGAGGAGGAAGAGGAGGAAGGAGAGGAGGGGAGGAAGAGGAGGAAGGAGAGGAGGGGAGGGAGAGGAGGAGGAAGGAGGGAGAGGAGGAGGAGGGGGGAGTTGCTCATTGTGTCCACTAAACGAGGACTCACTGAGTTTGGAGTGAGACTGAGGGCAGAGAAGGAGGAGGACTTCTACCTTTTATTATAAAGTTAAGCAAAAAAAGCACATCAGTGCTTTTATATTCCACTAACTTTAACAGGTGTTACTTCAGTAATAACCATTTTAAAAATGTAATGCTACTTCGATGGAAAACAGCACTCCCCACATAAAGAAACTCCTGTGTGTGCAGGCAGTACACCTCGCCGCTGCAGGCGCCTGGCTTCGGCCAGCCCGAAGAAGCACCCCTGTGCCAGGTCTGACAGCAGCAGCTTCTCCAGCCGCAGGGGCAGCTACGCTGGGGAGGAGCCCCTTGCAGTGCTCTGCCCACACGAAAGTGAACCGGGCGAGAGAGCAGGGCTGGCGGTGGGGGCTTACCGGAGCCAGATGTGGCCGTTGGAGCAGACCGCCTGCTTGCGATCCGTGAAAGGCAAGATCTCCTTGCACAGACTGCAGTGCTCAGGGAAGGTCTGCTTGTTCATCTTCTTGGAGATGTGGCCGATCAGCACCTGGTGAGACAAAGCAGGCGGCGATGTTCAGCGGAGAGGGCAGGGCTGCCCGGCACAAATGAAATGAACAACGATGCAGCTTTGCACCCAGACAGGAGATTTCATTTCCATCACACTGTCCGGGAAGTGAAAAGACTAGGCCTTCAACTGTGTCAACTGGCTGAGCGAAATCTGCTCTTTCAGGGACCTCTGACAACAGGGTGGGCTGTGACCACTAAAGGAAAAACTGTTCTGAAAACCACAATCTGTTACTTGCCTTGTTTTCGTTGCTTCTGAAACAAGGACTTCGGAGTTCTGTTAGAAGACAAAGTATTTAGCTATTACTTACAATATTCTAATTTTAAGAAGGAAAAGCATTAATTTCTGTAAGCAAAGTATTATGTGAAATACTAACTTGGTAGACTTGTACAAATGTCTATTCTTCAAGAAAGGCTTACAAAGGAAAAGATAACCAGGATTAAAAAATAATAAATTCCCCTTCTGATGGCCCAAGACCCCTGAGCGATCCGGTCGTCGCCTGCAGTGTGAGATCCACTGACCTCAGAGAGGCAGGTGGGGCGGGACCCACAGTGGGAGTGGAGGAGGCCGGAGAGGTCGACAGGCCGGTGCGAGGCCCAGTCCCAACTTCAGCTTCCCCTTTCTCTGCTTTGGTCTTGCGGTTACACTACTACTTCAACAATGAAAGTCTCAAGAACACTGATGGACTTCATTCTTTTGTTGGAAAAACCTTTGTGGCTGTCTCACTGGGATGGGAACCCCAACCCTTCAGAAACATCTTGTCTCACTAGCAGTTAATGTCCTTTGACGTTTTTAACCCATTTACACAGAGCTCGAAGCCTCAGACGGCCCCTCTACACCTGCCACTCCCTACAATTAGTTTACTGGCTTCTGAAGGGGGTCTCACCTACTTACCCTGTACACAGTTTACAGATGTAAAGCCCGTTAACTTTTGGGTTTTTTGTTGTTGTTTTTTTTGCCTTCAAAGTTCTAATTATGGTCCTTACAGCAGGGACAAGCACCCTCCCTTTTCTAGGCTGGCCAAACACCCTGGCCGTGACAAAGCCTGCTTTCTCCCCGTGGAGACGCTCAGATTTTACACCAGGAAGGGCTGCTATCGGCTCCCAAGGGCCTTGCACGTGCACACCCAACTGTTTGCTACTTTAACCCGTGCCTTCTCAGTGGGGGACACTCCTCCCAAAGGGGACAGAACATGAGAAAAGGTGGGGATGGCAGGGAGAACAGCGCGGAGTGCGCCCTCAGCCTGGAAACTCGTCTTGCAAACCCGCACATCGCTCAGTCACCGAGAGGAAGAACAGAACTTCTGTGTGTGACAGGAGCATGTCCTCGGCACCAACCCTCGTTTCCTAGTCCCTCCAGCACCCCGGCCGCTCAACCACCTCAAACACGTCAAAGCACAAACGAGCTTTAGAAACTCAATCAGGCCCCAAGGACAGCAGGCTTTTCGGTCTCAGCGCTCTTGCCGACCAACACCTACCCGCGCTGTCCGGTCGTCATACTCCTCGTCAGACATGAGGAAGTCGCAGAGCCCCCTGGTGGGGACGCTGGTGTTCTCCGTGATCCACGTGTGCAGGTACACTTCTCCCAAGACCCGCTTCATGTGCTCCCTGCTCAAGTGCATTTCCACAGCTTCGATCTTCCCCTGGATTTCCAGCAGTTTCTCCTCCATCGGCTCATGGCCTCCGACATCTCCCGCCTGGGTGAGGGAGTCATCGGCGGGGTCGTCCGGGTCCCCCTCTTTGCTCTTCTCCTGAAGGCCTTGCTTACTCGCCTGCCTGGAGGACGTGCCTTCTTCTTGCTCGTCCTCCATGGGGCCCATCCCAGGGGAGTCGACTAGCAAGACTTTCGAGTCCTCCTTGGTGGGCTGCCACAAGGCTTCGGAAGGGGTTTTCTGCATCGACTGATACAAAATCCTCAGGAGGAAAAGCTTGAAACGCCAGAAGTAGGTGGCCCCGCTGCTTTCGATCTTTTTTTCCAAAGCTTCTTGTAAAAACGGAGGGATATATTTATCTTTCAGAATCTTCCAGCGCACGAGGTCTAGCAAATCTACCTGTTTAAAGAGGTTCTGAACCGAAGATTCCAAGAGCTGAGCAGCTGCCTCTTCAAAAGTTTTGAGAGCAACAAACTGGACCTGGTAGTTTTTGTTAACGGGATGGAGGCCATTGACCATGCCCTCAGTTGTAATGATGGCCAGATACGCACCACAGGGGCTCACCGCTATCCCGTGTGTCCTCACTGAGCCAAACACCTCTGACAGCTTAATCAGCTGGTGTTCAAACTTCAAGGCGACATCAGTGAAGATGGGAATCAGCTGCCTCACCTTGCCGTCGCTGGAGCACGTGTATACGGTCCCGTTCTGCTTGTCTGCCGTCATGGAAACGATGGGCATCGAGTGAAGGCCCGTGACGTGGGAATTGTGAACATTCAGACCTGCCTTGGAGATCAGCAGGAGACACCAGAACACATAGGGTCCTCTGGCGGCCACCACCAAGCTGCAGTTACACTTCTGGTAAGGGTGATAGAGCGGGACACACTTGATGCTGTGCACGGGCAACTGGTCCATTTCTTTCCACAGGACAATGGGCTGCCTTAGCGTGAAGTAGCCTTTAATGGCTTTGAGATTGACAGGGAGGATTTTTACGGGTCCGAAGGCACTCCCCACAATAAGGCCACTCATTTTCCGATTATTGTGCTCATATTCCCACCAAAACAAGACACTTGGAGAGCTGATTCCCGACTCGATTGTGTTGCAGGAAGAGATGGACTCCTTCCCCACGAAAGGCAGCTGGAACTGCCACACGGCGATGTTGCCGTTTTCAAAGAGGACGGCCAGGAGCACGCTGCCCACGTCCCGGCACTCGTTGTTGTGCGTGACCTGCTGCGTGGTGCAGATGCCCGACCACTCCATCCTCACCGGCATCTGCATGCTGTGTCTCCTCTGGAACTCAGCAAAGTCCGCCAGGTTCCCTCCGGGGGCCTCGGTTTTAGAGAACCTGTAACTGGTCTCAAAGAGACGGTCTCCGTAAATCTCAGTCAGGTCGACCAGCTGGACCCACTGCAGCCTGTTGAGGTTAGCCTGGATGGTCAGGCGATTGTCCAGGGTCAGAGCTGCCAAGATGCACCTGCCATTAGCATCGCAGCCCATGGGGGACCAGGTGGTGTACTTGAACCCTCTCAGTGGGGGCAAAGCCTTCCCCTCAGGGTTGAACGCCCTGTCCAACATGAAGGTCTGGCTGATGGCGGGGTCTGGAGAGCTGGCAAATTTCTGTTTACACTGAGCAACTTCTGCTTTTGAGCCAACCTGGAAATAAGAGAGATAAAAACTATCAGGTAAACATTTCACTCTAGAAATATGTTTATATTACTGAGGCTACAAAACTGAATATGTACAAAATTTTACATACAAAATATATATACAAAACTTTTCTATCAGTTTTGTTAATTTTAGTATGCCATGCATTTAAAAGATCAAATACAAGCTTAAAGCTAAATAAGCATATATTCACAAAATGGTGATTTTTTAAAAAGGATCAGAATAAATGTTGCCATTATTCATAGGCTGGTTTCCACCTTCTTAGGATGGACATAAGCAATGAGGATGAGAGAGATGTACTTAATTATTTTTTTTCATAGTTTTACTGATTTCATAGAGGAAGGGAGAGGAAGAGAGAGGTAGAAATATCAATGATGAGAGAGAATCCTTGGCAGCCGGTCCAGCCTGCAACCCTGACATGTGCCCTGACCGGAAATGGAACCGTGACCTCCTGGTTCATAGGTTGACGCTCAACCTGAGCCACACCAGCCGGGCTGATTCTTAAGAGTCAACAGAGCATTTAGCTAAAGTCACAAAACAATAAAAGTGTTAAAATGCATGAAAATATACATCTTTGATACAGATAGATATTTGGATTCTTACAATATCTTTGCAATACAAATGCAAACTTCCTCTCCCTCTTCCAAGTTCGTAATGTATGTACATCAGCTGTGCCTAGCTGTATGATGATGATCTCTTTAAAAAGATTGTAAAGGGACATTAAAGACGGGGGAAGAGCCCCAGCTGGTGTGGTTCAGTGGTTGAGCATTGACCCACGAACCAGGGTCAAGAGTAGATTCTCAGGCGGGGCACATACCTGGGTTGCAGGCTCAATCCCTAGTAGGGGGCGTGCAGGAGGCAGCCAATCAATGATTCTCTCTCATCATTGATGTTTCTTTCTCTCTCTCCCTCTCCATTCCTTTCTCTGAAATCAATAAAAATAACAAACAAAAAGATGGGGGAAGATAAATGACCAAAAGAATGTGGTCCCGAGCCATAAGGAAATAGCCAGGAAGCCTAAAGCGGGGAGGGAGAAGAGAGGGGGGAAGCAGAGGTCAAATAAAATATGGTTTCTGTTATGTCAGAAGCCAGGAGAAAGGACTTGACCCACTGTGTTAGAGAAGTGGCTAACAGAGAAGCAAGCAGAATCGTGCCATTCCTTTTTGGTGTCAATCTCCTTTTACAGATATGCCGATTTTCAAACTGGACAGGGTAGAAAAATGTGATTCAAAAAGAACTCAAGCCTAAGACATATACAGACATAATAAAAGTCACTTTAAATGAGTTTAAGTCCCTAAACCCAGAGGAATTACACTCCAGGGCACAGACAGAACTTGGGAGATAAAGTTCGGACAACTGGGAATGTGTGAGAAAACAAGTGCAAGAAATAGTTTCAGAATATCCCCCAAAAGGTAAATAGGTAACAAAAGCCACAGACAATTAAGCCTGATAGGGAATAAAATTCCTCAATGTTTTAACAAACGACTGGCTTATGTAGATGGCAGTGACCATCAGAAACCAGCATAAGATAACTGGAAAAACGCAATGTTATTCTCTCTTCTGCTGAAACCGCTAGATAACATAAATAAGCTGTAAAATGAGAGGCAGGTATAAAGTTGTCCAACAAATGAATTAGAAGACTCACTTTTCCTAAAGCGTGTTACACACAATACTCCCCTAAATTGTCCCTTGAGGAGTTCTTTGGCTGTAGTCATTCCCCCTGAAGAGTTACAGGGGCAAGTAGAGACTTAGTATCGAACTTTTAAAAACAGCCTGTGTGTGTGTGTATGGAGGAGGAGGGGGTCATCCTAAAAAAATGCCCTGGAATAGTGTCTCAGGCAGCACATCTTGATTCTAAAAAGGCACTTAGGTAATCTTCTGGATACACTTACGGGCATGCTGGAGACATAGTATAAACCGGAAGTTCCAATGATGGGTGCAGCTTTCTAGCTGGTTATAAAATAACGCTAACAAAAGCCCAGAGCTTCCTAGGGTAGATACAATGTAAACGATGACACAATGAATCCTGGCTCTGTCAGTAACAGCTCCGAGCCCCTGCACACACTGGGTAGACCTCTGGCCCTAAGTTCCTCAGTCACAGAGAATAATACTGCGTGTCTCACAGAGTCAGGAAGGTCACATAAGTCAATATATGTAAAGCGTATATTAGTAAGTGCTCAATAAATGTTAGTATGATGATGACTATTACTATGATGATGACTATTAATTCTCTAAGAGGTAAGTAAATGATAACGAGACCTAAGAAGAGTTATACGTTTTACGTTGACTGTAAGAAGTAGAGCCACCTGTTAGCGCGCGATAAAAACTACCCAATCCTATAATATTATAAGTTAGAATAGGTAACTTACTATAAATAAAAGCTACCATAGAACTAAAAGTAAACTTATAGAATCTGTAACCCAAAGCAGCAGCACAGGATAAAATACAAGAAGCTCACGCCTACTCATGTAGGAAGAACTGTTGGTAGGGTGGAGAGCAGCATGAATCTGGACCAGCAGGGAAATTCCTCACGGTTTTGTGCAGTAATTCCTAATGTTAGTTTGAATGAGCCTACTGCACATCGCAAAATTAGTTAACAAATTAAAATAAATACTCAGATGCCCAAGAAACATACTTCAGAGTCCAGGTTGCAGAGGCCAACCCCGCCGCCAACCGCCCGGTGCACGAAATTCGTGCAAAGGGGCTCGGCCCTCACAGCAGCCCTGCCTCCCGCCCACTGGTCGTTTCAGAAGGTCATCCCAGAAGGTCGTTCCGGAAGTACATATGAACATCCTTAGAGACAGCAAGTTCCTTTCTTCTGCCTCCCTCCTCCAGCGTTTCTCAACTTCACAGCACCACCAGCCCCTGACCACCTGATCCGTTTATATTTGGACCAATTTGTTCATATCTTCTCCAAGAAGAGCTTAGAGGGCTTAGTCATACAAGTTTACCAATGACCTAATTCAACACCAAGTTGTCCGCTTAAGACTTGAATGAATTATGCTAAAAAGGTGAAGCATCAATTGAGCGGCCAGCTGTGAAGGTAAATATAATGTCGGGGGGACACCCTATAGATACGTAACTTTACGGCGCCTATCACCACCTGCTAGAACACTGGCATTTTTTCACTCCCGGGGCAGGGACTGCTTCATTTTCAGGACCTAAGTCAACACCCCGCTGACAGAGTGGCATCCGAGCGTCTGGCCAATGAGTGGACTTACACTTTGATAGATCACATATACCCATACACTTTGATAGGTCACATATACCCATACACTTTGATAGATCACATATACCCATACACTTTGATAGATCACATATACCCATACACTTTGATAGATCACATATACCCATACACTTTGATAGATCACATATACCCATACACTTTGATAGATCACATATACCCATACAGATCTTTACAGGAAACAGCGAAAGTGTTTACACTGGGCTTCTAAACCATGAAAATGAACCATGGGGAGGGGGGGGGGGGACTCTGAAAAGAACACTACTAGAGAAAGACTTAGGAACCCCCAAGTTCTGGAGGCAAACTTCGTTTCTATGAAGCTGGAAGCACTAACTCTCCCCAAAGACCATTCCACTCCCCGACGGGTTTTCGCTGTTAAACAAACACCAGGGCGAGAGCTCCAATCCAGCATTTGCCCACCTGCCCAGGGTGAGACCCATTCATAACAGAGTCGCTGCAACAGGTAAGACCACGGAAAGGACCAACTTCTCTTCTCCAAAAGCAAAGGAAGAGGGAGAGGAAGGCACACGTCGGGCAAACAAAAGCCAGGCCGGGGGGCCCTCGGGGCCGTGAGCCCCAAAA